CAAAAAAACCCGGGAAAACTCGATAGATAACTGACTTCTTCAAATGAGGTGTTGAACTCAAGTCTTTTGAATGTTACAGTGATGGTTCTAGCTACTACACCACTGCAACTGTTTGATTGTTTGTTGTGGCTACTGTTTTTGCTGTTAGTCCAGCAATGTATGTTTATAGTTTTAGTACTGGTTTTACGGCACTTGGTACACAATTAGGCCATATATATGTCATGACGATTACACATGTATAAGTAACATTGAAACAAAAGAAGGAGCGATAATGAAGATAGATGTTTGATAGAACAGAAGGAACTAACCACATCAGAGCACCTGACACCCACTCAACCAGATGTGTAGGGACTTTTCTCTCTCCGATTGACATCAATTACACTGCAATTGTACACAACCAAGAGACATTTCTCCCTGTGAGATGAATAAAGATTGCCATTGTCATTGTCAGCAGAGGGATAATTTGAAGCTTATTTGTATTTTGTTGTCGAAGGGTACAGAGGTTTTTCAGTATTTCTTGTCCATAAGAGATGATGATGATGAAGGGCACAGAGTGTTCTCAGTATTTGCTCTCCATAAGAGATGACGAAGATGATGGGTACTGAGGTTTTTCAGTATTTCCTGTCCATAAGAGATGATGAAGATCAGTGAAAAAAGTTTCAAGCCATTTGGTGCTGAGCACTGACAAACATGATGACTTTTCGTACTGAAAGACAAAAACATCACGCAGATAGATTAATTGTGTCACATATGGCTACCTCAAAATAGTTTTTGAGAAATTTGACTTAAACAATTTTTAGTTTCACTTTTTGTCATACTTTTTCGAATGAAAGTTTTGACATATCATGATAAAGATTCCAAATAAGCTTACGATTTTGAGAGAGCAAATTGAGCCTTCTTACTACATGGTCTTAGTAACTCCAAACGTCCAAAAAATGTCAGGCAGACCTTTGCAATTCTTAGGGTACGAGTTGAGAAGAACCAGTTGTGATTGAACCCGCTGTTGACACTGTCAATCGAGATTATTCGACTTAGCCTAGACCAGCCTGATTGTCCTTCACGCATGTGGCAAAAGCTACCGTTCGGACACAATACTGAACAACCTATTCGACTCACTACTTTCACAAACAACAATTCCCCGTTTGGACTTCTCTGTTGACATCAACCCCCTGGCGCTCATATGACCTTTTGCAGTTGCGAGCGCAGTAAGACCTTATCAAAAAGAAGAAGAAAAAACGTTACTATTTGTGACGTGTG